TCTTCCAGATGTAAAATTGTTCAGCTTTAAATGAATATTTTTTTGTATCTAATTCCAAACATAATATAATTCAAAGATGTTTCATTTTAAAACTTGCGTCGTTCGTGGATAATTCCTTTTGTGACTTTCCTGGCCAAAGGCCGTCAATGTTTGTGAAGGTCACCGCAGGCGCCCCTGAACAGCCCCTAGTCATTCGAATATAAGATTATGATTGCTACTACTACTACTACAATGTGCAATACAATTACAAGATGGGGACATACACTTGTCCGTGTTTTTATTTCTTAATGTGCACATAAGAACACTCGAGATGAGTGCTCAACTGTTTTTAAACGTGGTTATTTTTGCCTCTTAAATCCTGTTAAATTAGTTCACAATTTTTTCCCAGCAGATCATGAAGTGATTGTCACGTGAAAAATGTTAGGTTAAACCTCTTGTTTTCACATAGCTCTTAGAAGGTGTATCTTTCCACGTTGTGTCGAAGTTTTTATATTCTGCTCGTGGAAATAATCTTACATTCGATGAGCAAATATAAGTCAATTGATGGGTACAGAACTCAGAGGTGACATTCAAGTCTTGTAAGGGTAGTCCACATTTATTGTGACCCTCAATTAATTTACCCCTAACATTTTTTTCCTTTGCGTGTTCATTTCTATTTTAAATAAAGCTTATTTAAAAAATATATGTGACATTTTAGAGAATTGAATGGGGAGTCACAAGACATCTGGACCACAGTGTACAGGAAAACGTGGGGTTTTCGCGAGGTTCCGTATCGGAGCAGCAGAGGGCGCGATGCACGTTTGTCGCAAGAGTTGAGCCTTGAAAAGTTTTCACCGCCACAGTTTACTGCACTTTATAATCCCACAAGCGATAATGTCCCGTTTGTACAGACCAAGCGTCTGCCATGTGAAGCGGTTATATCATTGCTGTTTATCACTGTTCTCATGCTGACCGTTGCAATGTTCGGATATTGCAATGTTCGGACATTGCAAATGATGAGCGTCATTTAAACCTTTCACATCGGTGTGAAAACGTTCATCTCTGCACGCTGTATAGAAATTACATGAAAATATTTCTCCGTATTTTGTGAAAAAGAAAAACAACTAACATTCCGCTAAAGAGAAAACAAATCACAGCCAATGTTTACGTGAGCTTACATTTAATAAAAAAGCATGCTGTCAGAAGTGGGATTCGAACCCACGCCTCCAGGGGAGACTGCGACCTGAACGCAGCGCCTTAGACCGCTCGGCCATCCTGACTGCTACCCCCTATGGCCTGAAGAACAATGTACATCAGGGTACAGACGAGGGTTGTGTGTGGAGTGGGGGGGGGCATCACCGCTGCACCACAGGACACTTGCGAAGCGAATGAGGCCCAAGACCCCCCCCCGCCCCCCAGTAGACTGCAGGGCCAGCACCGATATCTCTCACACAGAGCTCCGTCGGTGCACGTGGTTGTGATTCACGCGGTTATGATGCTATCCCGATACTATATTTACACCACGTGCATGGCAATGTATTACGTGACGCAATATGCACACGTACACCTTACTACGGAATATACTCTATTACTCATATAAGCGCACAACTTTATCTGTGATGAACGCTGCACTTCCCGTCGTGTTCATGCAGGGGGCGCTGCAAACCTACGCGCCCCCTGCATGGACGACGGAGGCGCAGGGACAAACGATCGATCACGTTGGGATCGATCTGCAGACGGCGGTCTTCTCGCACGGCCAGCAGCTCTGTGTCGCCTTATCTCGATCCCGCAATCCCAAACTGGTGACAGTCCGCATCGAACCGAACCCCCAGCAAGGCCATCTACTTAGCGACGAGAGAAAATTCACACGAAATGTCGTTTTCAATGAAGTCTTCCAGATGTAAAATGATATCAGCTTTTAATGAGGATTTTTTTTTTATTTAATTCAAAACATAATACAATTCAAAGATGTTTCATTTTATAACTTCAAAACGGAGCATCGGGTGCTTGCGTGAATGCGACGTTAATCTGCAATTCTTTTTGTAACTTTCCATGCATTGCACGAAGCCTCCAGGGGATACATCGCTTTTAGATGTTGGTGAATTGTTTATTTATCGGTTAGATAACTTGTCACTTTCGTTTAACCTGAGGGGTCGTGCATAAATGACGTCACGCACCTCGGGGGGGGGGGGAGGTCATACATTTGTGACGATGTGTGACGAGGGGGGAGGGGTTTGAGAATTGTGACGTCACATCAAATACGCAACTTTAAATAAATATAGACAACACGTTCTACTTAATTAAATATACTTTTTAATAATTGTTTTCTCCTACAACATCAGAGTGCAGCGCCACATTAAATACGCACTACAATGACAATAGTTTAAAGCGATTTGAAGCATGTTTTATTTTTCATTGTGGGAGGGGGGGGGCAGAGCTTTGTGACGTCATATTTGAGGGGGGGTCTGACTCTTTGTGACGCCGTGTGACGAAGGGGGGAGAGGTCTAAAATCGTCCAAAATCGCGTTACGTCATTTATGGACGGCTCCTGAGTGTTAAAACACGGATTGTTGTCCCTTCATACGAAATAGGTGTAGATAATCGTTGTATTAAGATGGAAAAAACACTGACAAAATGTTAAAATATACAAAAAAAAAATTATCCCACCGCGATCTGAACGCAGCATTGTATTGTCCATGCTGAGTTTTAGTTATAATCGTTGCTACAATAAAATGTGTTTTGCCCGTCTTATTTAACTATAATAAGTGTCATTTGCAACGCGCACAGCACTTCGTGGACAAAAATAGCCCGAGGCACGGCGCCAGGTTCAGTGTCGCCTTAAAATCAGGCGAGAGATGTTGGGGACATTAAGAGATCGGTGACCTTCAAGTGTCTCTTAAAAGTCGGTGTAGATTTACTCATTACCGACTTATTAACTTAAAGTGTCTCTTAAAAGTCGGCGTGGATTGAATGCAGCTGCCAATGTGTGGCATGCGGGGTGATGGCGTTCCAGACGAAGGGGGATTGCCACGGAGAAGCGACGCCCAGCAAATACGGACCCTGGTCCTTGGTAGAGAAGTGGAGATGGATGGAGGTTGTGAGTTGTTCTGCTGATACGACGTCCTGAGTTGTAGCGAAGGACGACAGGATACAGTGGACAAGTGAGCAGAGGCGTAGCTAGGAGAGGGGGGGGGGTACATATGTCCCCGGGCGCCAAGGTAAAGGGGCGCCAAAATGAGGCTTACAACATTACATTAGAACTTATTGCGGCGGGCGCGGCAGCCTGAAACTACTGCACAAATCTACACCTCAACCTAAAAGTTTATATATGCCGCCACACACAGCCTACATGTCATGTAATTACATTTTGGTACGCGCGCCTATTAAGAACTTACATGGAAGAACGTCCCAAACAACAGACAGGCAGTCTTTCAGCCTTAGTCACTGGCCTGTTTTTTGGTGGCGGAAACTACGACGGCCTGAAACACGCTGGAGTGCACGATCACAAGCTGTTAAAGCTATCTATGAAGGACTGGATGAACTAGTAGGGCTGCTAGACAAATTATCGGAGGACGTAACTATGACGCCTGAAACCAGAAGTGATGCAGAACAGTTACAGGCATGCGTATTAAATTTTAACTTTATAGTTTTATTACATTTCTGGAATGGCATTCTTGGAAAAATGTATCGTGTTCAGAAGCGCTTACAGGATCCTACTATGAATTTTAAGGAAACAGCAACTGATCTTGAATCTTTGGAGCATGAATTTGTCAAGCTTCGTGATGATTTGAGCCAAGTTGCTGTAGAAAATGCCAAAATAAGATGCACAGCCTGGGGGATCGATGTGGACAGAAGAATTAGGCGACGTCGGAAGATGCCAGGAGAACTGGCAAGAGATGCAGGACTTTCAGCAGAAGAATAAATTGGGCGCGTTATGAAGAGCGTATTTTATAGACTTCAACAGATGTCAACACGGTTTTTACGACTAAAAGACCTGAACACAAAATTTGGATTTCTGCTGTACGTCAAAACTCTTATATCCGATACAGATATCGATGCAATTCGTCGAAATTGTACAGATTTTGGAAATTTCTATGACACCGACATCAATGGCCACGAACTTTTCAGAAATTGGAGATTGCAAAATGCTGCTCAGTAACCGGAATGAAGTTCTACCAGAAACTCCTTTGGATCTTCTTGGTTTTATTGTGTTTTATAGAGACGACATATTTCCGAATTTGCGAATTTCACTGCAAATTTTATTAGCGATAGCAGTTTCAATTGCAAGCTGTGAGCGGTCGTTCAGCAAATTGAAACTTATTTTGTCGTATTTGCGTGCTTCAATGGGACAAGATCGTCTCAGCGATCTTGCTCTTCTTAGCGTTAAAAGAGAAACATTGGAAAAAACTGATTTTGATTACGTGATTGACCAGTTTGCGACAGTGAAATCAAGAAAAATGTATCTTTTGTAGACTATGTCAACCAGTCTACGACAGTGACTGAGTGAGCCATGTAATATAATTTCTATAAATTTGCTTCTTTAAATACAATGTTTCATTTAACGCAAAATATCCTAGCTACGCCTCTGCAAGTGAGATGTGTACGATGGCAGTCAGCAGAACTTGTAGCTGACCCTGCTGGGAAGGCAGTGGATGGCAGGACCTTTGCTACCGTTGGAGTTTCTTAAGGTTACTTGAAAAACTAAGATACACGCAATTAATATTATAGTTCTGAATGTTTATCTTGTATTGACCTCGTGTATTTCCATTTCTAATGAGGGTTTCATTTGTATTGTGCCTCTTGTATCCTCTCAAGTTGTGTTCTCGATTGTTCGATATGGTTTATATCACGTCTCGTTGGCAGTACACATTGTAATAATGCACTCCGTGTTTATGGATGTTTTTCAGTATGTTATCATTGTAATATGGATTAACCTGCATGACACAATGTAAACTCAAATGACTAATTTAAGGAAATTAATTGATTTAAACCGATGAATAAACACTAATAGTTTTGAAATGAATAAACGTTTTATTGACAAAAACAACTTATCATACAATATACAATAGAATGTAACTTTACATAAAACAATATACATTGAGACAAACATATTTCTGGACATAACAAACGTCTGTCTTTAATCCAAAGGAAAATCTCTTGTGTTCCTTGGCAATAGTGCTTGCCCTAATTGTCCAAGAAATGACACCAAATCTCTGTTTAATGATGCTGATGCCTCTGCTTCCCGTTTGCTTTGTTCACGGTCTAAATTCATCTGCCTCTCTTTCATCTCTCGGTCGGCCCGCATTTCTTGACGCAGAAAATCCATGAACCTTTCATCGGAATCTCGCATGCATTTTGCAAATTCTGAGACAGAATTTGACGCATCTGTCCTTTTTCGCTTTTTCCCTGAAAAAAAAAAGTGCAAACATGTTGGGGTGAAGCAATGCGTTATCAAACAAAATAACTATCAATGCTGGAGAATACAACGTATACCAAAGTTTTTAGTTTCATTTTTCTGTTTTCTCTTTTTAATACACTTTGCCACGGTGTAATATACCATGGTCACTCATTCGACCTGGCGTAGCAGTTGAACCAATGGGCAAGACGACCTCCTGGCGCGTCTGGCCAGCGTGGAAGAGTTAGAAGAGTCGGTAGAAACATAGTACCCTCTAATAGCCTGTGGAGCTCTCCAGCAGATGCCCTTCTGGCAGCAATGGCGTAATTAAATAGTTATAGGGATGAACATTTTTACTTTTACCTCGATCATGCAAATCTCAAGTCAGCATCGCATCTAAAATGTCTTGTTTGCATACACAACGTAGACGCTTACCCTGCGTGGTCCTGGGACTGGTCACATGTGTTGCTGATGAGGGGCCAGGTTGTGCGTAAGAAGTGCTGTTGACAGACGATGCATTCTCTAAAGTGCATAAGGGGACATCAAGGTGAGGGAATATAAAGACATTTTTATAAATACACATATTCACTTAAAATTGTATCCATACCCCAAACACAACTGAATGACATCTTGTCATGAATCTAAAGTGCCGTCAAGTAGTTATGAAATGACAAATCCATTTTCCTCAGTACAAATATGTATCATGATATGTCAACATCTGGAGGGTATGTCTGGAACTATATTTTCGTTCCATACATGTTATAACTTAACTGTAGTTCCACGTCACAGATCCAAATCGCTCGAAACCGAGGTAGTGTCGACTCGTGTGCACTGGTCATGGGCGGTCAATTGGTCAGGGCTGATGTGCGACGGTGGCGTACGTGATGTTGTCTACGTACGTCTCTTGTTTGGTCATATTTTGGTGACATTTCTTAGTTTTAAGAAGAGGCCAACTAACTTTATACGCTCACAAAGGTGTATTTCTAATTGTGCCCATTCTGATTGAACTGCATGCTAACGTGGTATGTAATAGCGCTCTGTACGGCTTTACAGAGGTGGCGGGTTTGATTCTCCGGCGCGGCAGTTAAAATAATGATGGCCAAGTTGTGTTTTTTTAAATTCCCCCTCCTGTCCCCCCAGCTGTGTAAATGAGTAACCAGCCCCAGTTAACGTGGAAGAGAAGAGTAGACCAAATACCCTATTAGAGGGGCTATCTAAAGCTCCCTCTAGTGGAGGCTCTTCCACCAGCAGTGTCATGGGCAAGCAATTGCAGGGCTGCGCTTTCACCGGTTACACCTCCGATTAGCACGTTTGGCTTCGTGCGGTGCGAAGTTCAACACACGGTACTTTGAACTGCATATAAAGTACTGTTACAAACAAAATAATACATCGTGGATATTGTGACTGCTTTCTTGCACGAGTACAAATCTAATTTTCCTATTATCTCGCAACACATCTCACCGGATTCTTGCGGGGAATCCAACACTACTCCCACTGAAAGAGCCGTCGAATTTGACGAAGCGGACACAACCTTTGCCGGTCTGTTTCCAAGCACCGAGTCGAACAGGTGGTAATATTTGCTTTTCTTCTGATCCGCCGCTCCACCCTGCTCGTTGTGTCTCTTCAGCATCTTGTATTCGTGCTTCAATTTCTTCGCCTTTTCGCGGCACTGCTTGAGACTGCGGTTGATGCCAATTTCTTTCAAGTCGGCAGATATCCTGGCATACACTTTCTCATTCCTCACCGATGACTCCAGCTCCGTCTGCACACTCTCGTCTGCCCAGAGAGAAACCAGAGCCTCGATTTCCTCGGCGTCCCAAGGCTGTTTCTTATCCTCCAACTCATTGCACGCCATGTTGTTGTCCATCTTCCTCGCAGTGTTGTTTGCTTACTGCAGTCCAGAAGTATGACAAAAAAATATATGAATCTCGCCCGGGGCCCTCTTTGACCCCGAGTAAGATTCAGATGTCTTGTAAAGTGGGCGTTTTTATGGTTTGTTTCTGTTTAGACTAGACAACAAAAGTCCAGTGGAAAATCACCCGTACCGTGAAGGCCCAGCGCCGGCGCGGCTCGGATGTGCCGGTGAAAAAGGCGTAATGGTGGCGTGCCAGCCCCTTCCTCTGTCAGCCCCGCCACATTTGCATAACCCCGCCCCCTCGTCGCTAGCCCCGCCCACTGGACCGTGAGCCCCGCCCCCTCGTCGCTAGCGCCGCCCACTGGACCGTGAGCCCCGCCCCCTCGTCGCTAGCCCCGCCCACTGGACCGTGAGCCCCGCTTCCTCGTCGCTAGCCCCGCCCACTGGACCGTAAGCCCCGCCCCCTCGTCGCTAGCGCCGCCCACTGGACCGTGAGCCCCGCCCCCTCGTCGCTAGCCCCGCCCACTGGACCGTGAGCTCCGCCCCCTCGTCGCTAGCCCCGCCCACTGGACCGTGAGCCCCGCCCCCTCGTCGCTAGCGCCGCCCACTGGACCGTGAGCCCCGCCCCCTCGTCGCTAGCCCCGCCCCCCGGCCCGTGAGCCCCGCCCCCTCGTCGCTAGCCCCGCCCACTGGACCGTGAGCCCCGCCCCCTCGTCGCTAGCCCCGCCCACTGGACCGTGAGCCCCGCCCCCTCGTCGCTAGCGCCGCCCACTGGACCGTGAGCCCCGCCCCCTCGTCGCTAGCCCCGCCCACTGGACCGTGAGCCCCGCCCCCTGAAGTTGTCCTGGCTCTGACGTCAGCCCCGCCCCACTGCTCATCACCCACCCCCCAGCTAAGATGGCCGCTGTCTTTACCACAGCGCTGTGGACGTCACGGAATTAACGCGATCCGGGCCGTGTAACCGTGCGAGTAGGCGGAGATTTGACAAAGGCACGCCACCGGGGATATTGCATGTACACAGGCACAGAATGACTCGTTGTTTCACGGCGTCACGAGCCAACAACGGTCTGGGGCAACTGCTGTGGACATGTTACCTACCCAAGATGGCCGCCGAACGTCACGGCGTCGAGTGGCGGTGACGATGGAGCCACGACGCTCGTGGGGCGGGAGGGCGGGAAGGAGGTCGCGAGTGATGGCGGCGCGCGTGGTGAGGCGTGCGCTGAGCCTGGGAGCCGGGATCGGCCCGGCCGCCTCGGTCTCCCGCTGGCAGAGGCTGCTCAACTCGAGGATCGGTAAGGGAGCGCCGGGGTTGCGTCCGCCCGATGTTGCGCTCGCCGCTGTACGAACCCCGCGACCCGAGTTCGATGTCGGGTTCCTGTTGTCCCCAGCGGCAGGTGATCGTCTGAACGGGCCTCTTCAGGTCTCCTCGGCCTCGTATCGCCACCTGGTGCGGTGTGGCAACGTGAGCGGTGGGGAGGCCGCCGGGCCTGGGTGGTGCTGCGCACCCCGTCCCACTCGGGCGCTCGTTTATTCAACAGATATATTAATGTTTATTTTGGCTTCACAAGCGAGAGTTCCATTCTGTGTTCGCCTTTTGCACCCTGTCTCCATTTCGTTCAATGTCATTTATCTACAGTATTTGTAAACGTGAGCGGTACGCTCAAATCAGATTAAGAACCAGGCTACAGTCAACATTATAGACTGCCAATACACTCACTCGGATTAATAACCATTGCTACAGTCTACATTATGGACTGCCAGTACGCTCACCGAGGTTAACCAGGCTACAGTCTACATTATAGACTGACAATACACTCACTCGGATTAAGAACCAGGCTACAGTCTACATTAGTGTTTATTTTTATTATTTTTATTCACTTTATTTTTATTATTTTTCTATCTACGTGACTTCACCGAAAGAACCAAAGAATATTCTTCAAATACTTAACTCTCTTATTGTCTCCAACCCCGAGAACCTTTTATATTGTGTCTTCCTTAAGATGAGACGCTGAATGTCGAAACCGTTCCAGAGTTTGTATTGAATCAATGCAGCTGAAATTATGCACTCCCAGAGCACCATGCGGCTGATGGGCCGTGTTAGAAATGCTTTTATTTATTATGTTGCAGGACAGATGTCTGGAGGAGACGAATTGCATGTTTATTTTGACCTTAATAGTATGTTTTGAAAGTCCTGTGTACGTTATCTTCCATTTTCAAATCAGTCCTCAGAAAATCTGTCCCAATTTTTGCGAAACACCTCAAATTATTAAGCAATAAAAGGTCCCCCTGCCAATAAATAAAATGTGGTGGCCCTCATCTCCATCACCCATAGCACGGTAATATCAATTCCACATTCCTATGGAAAGGAATACATACAAAATAAAAACACTTGACGAATAATGCTTGCTGAGCACAGACCCAAAACTGCAAGCAATAAACAGCACTATTAAAAGCGTATAAAAGATTTGATGTTTCTTGAATTGAGCAAAGTTGTCAGAACCTGAGAAATGAAGTGATGGGTGGGACTTAAATATGTATAAAAGCAAAAATCGAAATATGTTCACCCTTCCCCGCCAGGTGTGTGGTGTAAGAGCCTGCTGAGCGACTACACCGACGCGTGCAAGGACGTGGTGGTGGGCGCCTGGGAGCGGCCCGTGCGCGCTGCGATCTACGGAGCGGTTCTGGCCGGCGCCGTTGTCTCTATGAGGACGGCGCCGGACGAGCACTCTTTCCAGGTGGCGCTACTGGAGGCGAGCGGAGAGCTGCTGCTTCTCTCCTCGTCGGAGCGCAACCCCACCACAGACTGCCATGTCCAGGCATGTGCCCTCCACATGTCATGTCAGTAATGTCCCAATCCGTTTTCTCTTCTTGTTAACTTTGTTCTACTGTGATATCACCATGAAGTTACTCGCTTTAAGTGATCGTGTGTGAACCCACCTTAAGACATTGGTGGATCGGCACTCTTGACAGATATGTGACCTCTGAGCTACCCAGCCACATAACTACCCAGCGATATATTCTTAGTAGCAATGTTGTCATCGACATCATTTTGTGAGTTAGAGAATGTGTTTAAATCACCCTTGTGGTGCTGGGAACAGTCCCCTTCTAAAGTTCGGTGTGGGCTTTTTGCACCCAACTTTGGATAGCGCATACTTATGCCCTGTACACTTTATCTGTCATAACAGGCTAAATGTCTCATCTTCAGAGGTAGAATATAATCAATTATGAGTTAAACTCAAAGTAACATGATGGGGTGTTTTTATGTAATTGTTGATTACCTGTCAGGAAAAGCAGCCTGCTGCGCTAAAGACTTGGATTACCTAATAGATGGCTGAAACTGAGATGTCAAACCCAAGGCTTAAAACTTCAGTTCATTGCTGACATGGCTACTATTCCCAGTTACTTACTAGGTAGATTTATACAGGTAGGAACAACAGGTTCCACACTGCCCACCAGGGATTATTTGTCTGTCTGTCGTGCATATTTGTCTGTCGTGCACGAATGCGCTGTCCAACCAAGTTCCTACCTGCCCATTCCGAAGGAACGTATTTTTATCTCAGTGCAATGTCAGACCTCACAGATGGTAACATCAAATATGTAATAAAAAAAAGAATGGTGATAGGCAGGACAATATACTTGCATGTACAGCCTCTCCTGTATGAGGGCCTTCCCACACTCTGCACATTGTGAGGGTTATTACATTCAAAAAGGTGGCTTTACCATTTTGTGGGGATTAACCATTCTCGAATGTGCTGGTGAGTGTGGGTTGGCACAATTCTGCTTAGGTCTTAAAGTCTTTATTTTAGGGTTTTTTCAACAATTTATTCTAATTTTTAAGTTATTAAACAGGAAGTACTTTATATTTGAATAAAAATTCCAAGGTTGTTTCCATTTGATCGAGCCAAGTTGAACAGGTTTTGTTTTTATCTGCTATATGTTGTCATAGGCCCTGCTAAAGCACCGTGAGGGTGGCACTCTGCGCTTCAGCAACCTCTTATTCTGCTCCGTGGTCTACTCAAGCCCCTTCGCGCCTGAGTGTCAGCTGTATGCAGCACAGTGCAAGAATCTTAAGCCCAGGTGGGTTCTACTGCTGCACTTTGTCACTGCTGCCTCCACCTATGAACTCGTTCCATATTTATCTTAACTGCTTGGTAGCCTGGTATGCTGGCAGGCCACATTATTTAAAGTAAAACATAAATTCCCCAAATTTTATTCCTGTTACCACTACATGTTACAAGATAAAAAAAATATCAGTTCCAAATTATTGCAAGAAGCAATGCAGAGATTGGCCCAGTTTGTTATTATATGAATACTTCTGATGTCTCTGCAGTAGATCCAATTATTTACACGAGATTCATGTATTAGATACGTCCTGCAAAGGGTGTTGCATATCACACAATTGGTTTACTGCTTAGTACTGGAATAAAGAGATTTTAAATGAAAAGTTAAAATTATGTTGCTGGTTGCTTTGAGCAATCATCGGTGACTCGGCTAAGACCATCAGCCCACTAGAACCTGGTTTAATGACAGGTGGCTGCTCGAATCTTAATTCAGGATCTCAGTTATTCTGACTGAGTTCTCTGATCTAGCATTAGCTCCCTTGGACACCAGGCCACCTGCAAGAGTGCACCAGTCCATTGTGGTAACTTCACATTTCTAAGCGCTGGTGTTTTTATGACCTCACATTTATAACTAACTTAAAGTTGCATTGACATGTGGGAGTCGTGCATTCATCTTCTCCGAGGAGATTGCAGACTTGCGGTACTTCCTCCTACCATCCTAAAACATCCATGTTTACAAGGGATCGAACATGTATGTACACACATACAAGGAGAAAGATCCCCTGTATAGTATACAAGGGGATTGTCTAGACAGCACTATACCTGGCATATATACATAGAATCTGCTACGTATTTAAGGCTACATCAACATAGGGGACGCCCATAACCGGTTAAATAATTGTCACTTCTTAGCTATGGCCAGGAAGCGAACTCCGGTTATCGGGTTTGTAGAACAGTGCGCTAACCACTGAAAGTATTTTTGCGTCCTCTTTCAAGTGTTCTACCAAATATTTTGTGCAACCGTTGAGCTATGTTCCTTGGCACAGGTGGGAGGATTTCCCGTCGCGCGTGCTGGATGTCGGCTTTGGCGGGCGTTGGTGGATGCTTCACAAGAAGGCACACGACTATGACATCAACGATGGGGAGTTTGAGCAGCTGTCACCCGCTCAGCGCATTGTCTTGCATGAGGACTTACACTCGCAGCGCAATGAACAACTCCACGAGCTGCGCTACCGGCAGCCAGTCACGCTCACCGATGAACAAGTGCGGCAAGCCGAGCCGGTGCGGCAGGAACCGCTCTTGGTAAAAGTTTAGAATGAGCCAGTGTGGACTTGCTGTATTTTTATCAGCGTTAAATCATCTGGCTGGATGAGCATGTTGGTTACACCCATGTCACCAGGTAATTCTTCATGGAGATGGTGGTTTAACACTTAACTGTGTCACATACAGATTCCGAAGGAGAATTACCAAAGCGTTTTGTGTGCTGTAAAAAGAAAAGAAAACAAATCAGATTTCATTTGCACTACAAAGCTATTGTGTGGGCCATGGGGCGCTGACATGGCCAAGCGGTTGTGGGTTTGCCGCTTCTTTCATATATATTCAGTTCGAATCCTGAAAATCTTCCTGGTTAATGCTGCAGGTGTGTTAACGATTAAATACATGGTGTATACTTAATAGTAGATGTTAAAGATCTTGTGGAAATTCAGAAAGTAGGCCATTGTGTACCATCGTCATGGTCCAAATTTGAAGAAAAAACCCCCTAAAATTGCGATAGCACTAAAATGTTCACTTGCAGGCCAGTGATTAAAGTCACCTTGTGCCGCACAGGGAAAACTGCAACTAGAGGTCCCCATCGAATGTTTGAGATGATATGTGATTTATGGCACTTTGAGTTGTTGATGCATAGAAGTGCCATTGAAATGCAAAAATTATGAAAGTAGTACAAGGATGGGTTATACACCAAAAAGTTAATAAAACTAATTTAAAGTTGTTTTAGTGGCTCTAATTTAACATGGAGAGTTCGCAAAATGTTTAATGGAGAAAAAAGCTTGGTCACCAATGCCTCACTATTGCCCCTTACAAGTCCTGTGTGGTAGGGACAATGGTTATAATGAAAACAAAATCAGTGTCTCCCTCCTAAAAGTATAATAATGCGGTGAAATTCTCAGATGGATACTCTGAGCCAGTGGTGAAAATTCCACATTTACATGACAAGTGCCATTTCCTTGATAAGACGACTGCTGTCGACTTTCGCGCAAAGTAGCTGTACTCATTCATGCGAGAGGGATGATGATGAGCTAAGTTGGCAATCCCCGACGGATTTGAACTCGCCACCTTCCAATTGCGAGTTGAGTGTTCCGATACATTGCCACTTTTCCAGATGGTCCTCTTATAATTAAGTGTGTATGTATACGCGTCATTACATTCTGTGTCATAATGTATATTGGTTTATTTAAAAATGTTTATTCATCATGACATTTATAACTCCAGAACGAAGGATGAGCCGTGCACCAAAAAAGCGCAAATAATATTTTATACCAAAATTATAGTTCGTTAATATTGAGAGGGCTTGATCTGACCTGGAGATTGGGCAAAAACGTGAATTGGAGAGAACCAACAGCAGGGAAATCACTGCCTTGAATCTGAGTCGAATAGCAATAGATGTGAAGTGAGAATTCCAGAGATGCAACTAGATTTTTGGACAACGTGAAAATAGTGGGAATTGTACAACATCCATTGTGACAAGCAGATGTCAACTGCAGAAACATACAGTCTTAAGGGGGCACCAAACTGGTGAAACTTAAGGATACGTATGGTTTGCTTCATCTGTTTTGGCAGGGCCTCTGTTACCAGGGACTCGAGGGTCTTATTTTTCCAACAGATTTCACGGGACTGCTGCCTGGCAAAATCAAATGTCCGTGTGTAAATGTACAGGGACTCCTCTACTTATGAACGTTCAATTTACGAACTTTGAGAGACAAACAAACCTGTCCAGTTGCCTGTTTGGACCGAGAGTTGTAAGTTCAGCCACCGCGCAAGAGATGGTGGTGGTGCCATCTACATCTACAGAACATGAACCAGTGGCATCTACAATAGATTAAACAACTTTTGAAGCCATTCCCCGTGTTTAGTGTACATACCTTACAACATGTTTGGAATTGACAGGCATAAAGTTGGACTTGCGAACATATCCACTTATGAACAGACATTGGGAACCTAACTCGTTCGTAAGTAGAAGAGTCCCTGCAGTTTGCTGTCGGGCAGTGTTAATAGTGTGTTCTTGTGCATCTCGGATGATGCAATCTTTTAAAATTTGAATTTAAATATGTTGAATTTCCATACCTTACCAGTACAACAATAATGATGAGTTCACTAATTGATTATTAAGTAGACTAGCCGTGCATATAAGAGCCACGTATTTATAGTGTATTAAAATGATACTTTAAGGGTAATGGTATGATGCAGAACACAAGTGACTTTACGAATGAGATTTAAAATAGATAGAAACGTTTGATTCTGTAATCAAACTGAGTAAAATCATGACTCGCAGCGAGGAGGGAGGTTAATCGTTAAATGCTTATAAACAAGTGATCCACTTGATCTGTCTATGAATCAAATGCAGTACAGGAAATATGAATCTTTATTTGTTGCTTCAATGATTCAACCTTGGTTCGGCATACCAGAGGTATTCATAATCAACGTTTTTGGGTTAGATCGCGTTATTTATAAATGTGTCGTAACCCTCCACCACCAGACATGGCCAATCAGCAAAAAAGTGTCACGTTGACAAAAGACATAGTTCACTGCTTTAGCCCACCGGTGTGTTGAAGCGTGAAACCACAACATTTACAATTTTTGAGTACGACTTTTCGCTGGTAATTGCGATTTAAATCTCAGCGGAAATAAAGAAACCCAAAGAAAGCAATACTTGGAGTAACATTCCATCCCGGGCGTCTCGACAGGCCCCTTTCGATCTTCGTCCCATCCGCGGGCGCCCCCACCTACTATACGACAAAGGCCAGCCACCGCAACGCCCACCGCCCCGCGCCCCTTTCCCCACCGTCGCCACCATTCACCCTCGCAACGCTCCTTTGCATCGCCCTCCCCCCGTGTCTGGGCGTTCCTCGCCTGCACACCTCAGTAGGCCAGTTAAATACACACGGCCACCCCTCACCGTCCCTTCCCCATACCCACGAGCCCTCCCTACCCCACCCCGGGTAGGGGCCACCTCCACTTTACGCCCGCGACCCTGTGTCCCAACCTTGCCCGGTCCACTTCCATCACCCTTTCCAGCAACCTCCTCGCCCATTGACATACCCCCACAGGCAGCACAGGGGACCCGTCCAGCTCCTTTCTGCGCGCCCCCCACAAAGCCTCCTTCGTTGCACCTATTACGGCCCACGCCCGGTCTCTGTCTCCCTCCCCCACCCCCCTCAAGGCACCCCACAATGTCCTGCTCAGTCACCTGTGCCGGGTAGTACCAGTTCAGCAGCGGGCTGTTCCTCCTCCATACCTCCCGTGCAAAGGGGCACCTCACCATTGCGTGTACCGCATCCTCATCCTTGCCGCAACCTCTCGGGCATTTGGGGGAGTTTGCTAATTGGCGGGCGAACATGAAGCTCCTTGTCCCTAGCCTATCCCGCACCGCCAACCATGACAAGTCTCTTTGCTCCTTTGTGAGCGCCTTTGCGGTGGTCTTCCATACTTGCCGGTGTACTGCTCTTTTTAGCCCTGCCACCTCCTCGCAGGCCTCCCCTTTATTCACTTTTGCCATCACTTTCTTGGGGGTCCATGGGCCCCTTTCCTGGTGCAAGCCATACTCCTTTATGTAATCCCCCACCACCGTATTTAGCCATCCCTGTGGCCAGGCCAGAGTCGTGCCCCTCGTCAGCTGGGACATCCCGAGCCCCCTCATTAACCACTTCAGACGGTACCTCAAGTAGCAGGCTACCTTCCCCCGGGGTGCTTCGGAGTAGAACAGCCTCAGCGAGTTGCACACAAAGGTTGAGAGCAGGACCTGCGCCACATCTGGGGCCCCCCTCCCCCTGTTCTCTACACGTTTGCACATCGCTACCCTCTTTACCCTACCCATCCCCCCCCCCCAGATGAACCTAAATAATGCTGACATCAGGCTCCTTATCTCCCTCTTGCCTGGTGGGTATACATATGCTAGATAATTAAGGGTCGGCATCACCTCCGTCCTCACTACCATGATTCTTCCATCGACAGCTTCCTCCCTGCCCACCTTCGCAGCTGCTCCCTCACCTGTCCTATCTTCCCCAGTTCCTCTCCGCTGACTTCTCTCGACAGAAGTCTATACCTAATATCCTGACCTCCTGTGTCCTCATCTCCAGCTCTGATGGCCGCCCCTCGAACAGTCTCGAGTTTCCAAAGACCATCAGCACACTTTTCTTGGCGTTTACCTTCAAACCAGAGGCCCATCCGAATCGTCTCGTCTCTTCCCCGGCCCCCCATACCGATGCCACTTCCCTGCAGAGGATGACCACGTCGTCCATGTACAGCACTACCTTCCTCTGTTCCCTGTCCCCTGGGACTGTCACTCCCCTGATCCCCTAGCTATTCCGTATCGCCTGTGCGAGAGGTTCCATGCCCATTACGAACAGCACCGGGGACATCGGGCAACCTTGCCTTACCCCCGACTCCACTAAGATCGTCTCTGAGAGTTCACCGTTCACCATCACCCTGGTCCTGAGTCCTTGGTATATGCATCTCACCCATTCCACCAGGGGCCCCCGCACTCCCATTTTGTCTAGCACTGCAACGACGTACTCGTGTGAGAGCCGATCGAATGCCTTTTCCAGGTCCAGACTTAGGAGCCCCAGGGGGCACCCTCTCTCTCCCTCCACCTCGATCGCCTCCTGCAGTAGCACCAGTGAGTCTGAGATCTTTCGTCCCGGCACCGCGCATGTTTGGTCGGGCTAGACCACCTCTCCCACCACCCTCCCCAAGCGTGTCACGACTATCTTTGCCATGATCTTATAATCTGAGTTCAGAAGCGTAATTGGCCTCCAGTTTCCCAAATCTCTCCGGTCCCCCTTCCCCTTATACATTAGTGTGATGAGCCCCTCACTCATGTCTTTTGGCACCAGGCCGCACTCCAGCGTCTCCCTGCACATTTGTAGCATATCCTCCTTCAACAAATCCCAAAAAGTGATGTAGAATTCCGCCGGGATTCCATCTAGTCCCGGTGTCCTGTTCCTGTTTTGCCTTCTCACCGCCTCCCCCACTTCCCCCATCTGGATCCTCTCTTTCAGCTCCTCTGGGTTCCTAACTTCATGTCTCAGGTCTCCCAGCAGAGCCTCCCGCATCCCCTTATCCGTTTCCTTCCTCCCATACAACTCCCCATAGTAATCCCTCGCTATCTCTATCATTCCCTCACTTGTTACCTGCCTGCCTCTAGTCGGGCTCACCAATTCCTTAACGGTGTTATCTCCTAATGATAGGTTTTTACCCTTTCAACCAGTGGCGGCTCGTCAATAGAGGGCGCAGGGGCGCCGCCCCCATCAATATTCAAGAAATATACATATACAAAATTTATATAAAAATACATAAATAAAATATTTTTTTCATACGATGTGCCGGCTGGTAGTAAGAAAAGCATCAGCATTTAATAAAAACTGGCTTTAATCGGTTAACGATTTTCTATGTTTTTCAATGTGTTTCATGCGGGGCGCCGGACAAATGGATGTCTATGTGAGACTTTAAATTTTCGGACAGCATGTGACCTGAAGCTGGTCTCTAATTGGTTTCTTAAAGATTCTCCTCGGGGCGCAAGTCGTTGCGTTTCCTGGCCAATCAGAATTGGATACATGTTATTTTATCCAATCTGATTGGTTCTTGTCACCTGTCATTCAAATTTACGCTCTGGGCCACTACTGCGAGTGCGCAGGCGACACCACTTCGACACTTGCTAGGCTGATCACATTTTTTGTGTAAACAATGGCAGCAGTTCATCCAAATTCTGTAATTTATTTACAAAAAAACCCTTTCACAAGGCTTTCGCTGGAAGAAATAAAAAAGATAAAGGATCTCGGACCGGACCAACCCGATTTACAAATCCAGCAGCAGGCCAGTGACAGAGGACGAAAGCTACACACGAAGCTTCACCCGCGCTTGTTATGAGAAACGGAGGTGGCTGGCTGGATGTGATGTTAGCAATTCTCTTTTTTGTTTTCCCTGTCTTTTATTTCAAAGTGTCGGCACTGAAGTTTTGTGGACAACGACGGGGGTAAGAGACCTCAAACATCTCTCTGACAAATGCAAACGTCATGAAACGTCCCGTCCCATACGACGGACCGGCCAGACGGACTCGCGCTAGGTCGCGCTACTTTGTGTGACCTGCCACGTGAGGAGTCGAGGCAGCCGGAGCGCCTCGGCACTGCGTTTAGTCACAGAGACACTTGGCGCGTTCGGTTTCCGGTGTTCGCTTTTAGTGTGTTCGTTTTCCGGTGTTCGCTTTTATTGTGTTGTTCGTCGGGCTGTATATTGCTTCATATTTAAGTGTTGTGTTGTGTTGTTGTTGTTGCGTTACGGGGCACACTGAGAGGTGGAGTTTCTTTGTTACTGCATTGACGTTAGGTTGTGTTGTTGGTTAACAGCCGGGCCGGCTGCAAGCTATGTGGGAGGGGGTGATGTAGAGGTGATACGCACTGGGATTAGAGATCGTATGCCAGCGCGTAATGATTGGCTGTGTAGGTGGTGACGTGCGCTGACGGTGGAGGATCAGGGGTCAGCGCGGGGTCGTGGGTTACGGGGTACTGATTGGCTGTGGACGGGTGACGTGCTGAGAGGGAGTGATCGGGTGGCAGCGCGGTGTGATTGGTGGAGGAGTGTTAACACGCGCTGGGGAAAACGGATCGTAGAGAGAGTGCGTCGTGATTGGTTCATTAAGGAGCGATGTTCACGTTGAAGTACGCATCAGCTCCGCCTCTCGTGAGCAGGGGCTATAAAAGGGGATGCACACAGGCGTGAGGGCAGTGTGTAACCAGCGAAGAATGAAGACGGGGATGAAGACCTAGGGCCCTGCGGTACCTAGTCCCGCTGTCCTAACGGGACCGGGACTCTGTGTAACCCAGAGGCGAGTGTAGTGTGTGTAGCCAGAGGCGTAAGGTCTACACGAGCCGAATGCAGTGTATTGTGTAGCCAGGGACATAGGGTCTACACGAGTCGAGTGTATTGTGTAGCCGGGGACATAGGGTCTACACGAGTCGAGTGTATTGTGTAGCCAGGGACATAGGGTCTACACGAGTCGAGTGTATTGTGTAGCCAGAGGCGTAGGGTCTACACGAGTGAAGGGTATCGTGTGTAGCCAGAGGCCTAGAGTTTACACGAGAGTAGTGGAGTGTGAAGTCGGAAGAAAGGAGACTACACGTTGTATTTTGATACGTAAAGATTTAATAAAAGTGTGTTCCCGTCAAGAAGTTCCTGCCGTCAATTCCCATACTTCAACTGGTGAGGAAGAGGAGTTGCCCACGGGGCAGGATCCGCCGACGGCGCCGGACGAGCCACGGGGGACTGACGCCGTGCTTCGCGAAGCGCACTCCCGTCTGGCGGAGCTGCTGCTCGCCGCCGCGTCCATCTTGGCGGAGATCAGCTCGTCGGGAGGAGCGGGAACGGCG